TACACAGTTTACACAGTTAAGCTTGTCTCGGCATTCGTTACTGGACAGAGGAGGGGGTCAGAACACACTTCTACTGCAGATCTCAGATGTGAGACAAGCTTTCCAGAATGTCAACATCCAGATTGTTATGTGTGTTGGGTCTGGTCTCTGGGTGTTACATGAATTCCGCTGTATGTGTAAACTGTGTATATACGTACAATGACAATAAAGTAAATGAAGCCTGCGTATTTAGCTCTATATTTCTTTTACTCTGATGACACAAGCAGAGAAAATGAAAAACCATATCTACCTGTTCCAACCACATTCCAGATTCATCATCTGGAGACCACAGGATCACTGTTTTGTCCATTGAAGCAGATAGTAACCTCATTGGCTGTTCCATCCTCCCATCTACAGTATCAGGAAAAAAATATCCACATGTTTTCATTCATTTTTGCCAAATACAAGGTTTTTTTTTAATCACACCTGAAGAAAAACTTAAATAGGAAGTCTACAAGAATGCCACACGGAAAAACTATACATGGCAGGTGTTGGGCAGAAGGTCGCAATTTACAATGTCCTCAAAGGTGTGCATGGACTAAAATCTTGTAAATTGAATCTTGGATACTGTGACTCTTCACGGTGAGAAAAGCCATCATTTGTTGTGTCGCATATTTTCAATTTTCTATTCTTTGAGATAGAAGGAATATAGCTCAACATGGAGTTCTCCATTTTGGCAACAAAGTCCACGTTCCTTGTAATCTCCATCAGTAACCCAAATTGGGAATTACATACTTCTTACCTTTGAAATATGGTGGCTGCCAATGAACTCCATAGACCCAATTTTCATGGCCAGCTAGCACTGAATCCAAGGTAACTGCAAAGGATTTATCTACACCTATCACAAAACAAACAAGCGAAAAAGAGAGCAAAAATAATAATAATATTTCAGCCTGTTTTTACAACAGCCAAGCTCACCTTCTTTGCATTTGAAACTACATGCACCAAGTAAAACTCTGTGAATTCTGTTACACGTGTTGAAATCAATCAGAATTGAAAGCAAAACGTCAAAGAGTAAATTAATTGTCAAGACTTATCTAGCCATTGTATTAATGACTCAGCCTTGCAAATAACCCAATGACAAAATTTATGATCCTGGGTCTGTGAATTCATCTGTGGCAAAAAGATATGAAGAGAACAGAAGACTTCTGTATATTCAAGGATGCAAATACATATTTCACAGATGGATAAAATGTAATACACAGATGACATGGAAAGGAAAAACTGTACATTCATTCACTATATTCAGTTGGATGTAATAATTTCTATTCTGTTTATGGACTATATTAATGTAAAGAATGTAGATGTATATTAAGAAGAATACAGCACAGACAACATTAAATTCATGCACAAGAACAGATATCTATGATGTCATGGGGGCATCAATCAAATTAATTGAAAGAAAACAAAGTGAAGCCTGTGTTTCAGCTAATTAATAGCACATTCTTTCACAATGCATTAGAAAAGTGATATTTTATATTTTATTAAACCATCCTGGAAACATTTTTATTTTTAAAAAAAATCCAACATAAAAGAACAGATTTACCATTGCAATTTTTTATGGTGAAAACATTCTCTTTCAACGTAATAATGTTCTCATCTTGGATTTCCCCAAACAATGAAGTTGCATGCATCTTCCAGATCCTTATCAGACAATCCTGAGCACAGCTTGCCAAATAAAGATCTCCATCTTAAAAAAAAGAAAAAACAAGCTTAAAACAGTCATTAAAGAAAGAGTTTAAAAGGGAAATTCAGTGCCCCCCCCCCCAAATTAAGATTAAGATTTAGTTTATTTGTATGCCGACCTTCACCGGGAGGGTCTCAGGGCGGCGAACAACTCAAGGGGGGAAAAAGGGGAACATAAAACACAATACACATAANCTGCTTTCGCGGTCCACTGGTGGAACCTCTTCTAACCGGTTCGGTAGATTTGACAAACCGGTTCTACCAAATAGGTGCGAACTGGTAGGAACCCACCTCTGATGTTTAGGTGTAGACATGACAGTCACATTTTCTGCGAAGTGCCAGCAAAATGCTGGAAGTCATTTTGTGAAAATTGAAATTCACTCTTTTTGTGGTTTAGTTTTCTACCAACCAATCTTCCTGCTGCCTTAATTTGGAGTTAGAAGTTTACTGCTAAGAGTCTCACCCTGCTTAGTTTCAGAATAAAGTTTTTACATTGTTTTCTGGGGGGGACAGAGTTACATTGAAAAAGTTGCATCCGGTTAAGTCATTCAAAGTATTTCACTGCATATGGAATGTCATTGAGTTGAAAAACGGTGTACAAATAAGGACATTTTCCCCAAGTGGCAGAAGACTGTTTTTTGTAACCTACCAATGCTCAAGGCAGTGATGACTAATGAGACAGAATTCTCCTATATAAAAACAATGAATTAATTTGTGTTGTATCTGGAGTTAAGGACAAGAGATAGATATATTAAACAGGCATTTGTTTTTAGCCTTGTAAACAAACAATTGAAGTAGAAATGAATTTCTATTTTTTCTCAAAAATATGCCGTTTCTCTTGGAAAAACGAACAAATGTAGCTTTCTAATATGAAAGCAAAGGGAGAAAAAAAAATCACGTAATATATTTTAAGATCACCTTTTTATAACAGGTGCTATGCACATAGTAGAGGAGGGAAGAGAAGACTATTAAAAGCTAAATGATACCTCATACTTTAAAAGAAAGAAAGAGTCATTTATTTGAAATAATTACAAGGAAGTCCTATTCTGTTTTTGTATAAATATACAGTGCAATACAGTGTCCATAGAACTGTAAAAACATGCTTAGACACTAGAAGGTGTATCTGCATGAAAAACAATGGAAGAAGATATCTCCATACCTCCTAACCCAGTGTTTCTCAACCTTGGCAATTTGAAGATGTCTGGACTTTAACTCCCAGAATTCCCCAGCCAGCGAATGCTGGCTGGGG